TCTCAGTTTGTCTTCATTTTCTTTGTGTGTTAATGGGCTGAGCTGGAAAGAAATGCTAGATTGTGTTAAAAATCAGCAGAAATACTTATTTAGATGCCTATCTCTTTAGATACAGTTGTAAAAAATAGGGAAATTAGCGTGAAAACTTGCTCTTTCACGTGTGAAAATGAAGAACAGATTTTCAATTTAGTAGAATTGTTCTCTTTAAGAGTTGAAAATGTATCATGATAATCGCTAGAACATGGGTTAAAATGGTAAATCATTGTTCTGCCTAAGGATAAACAGTAGTTCTGAAATTTGGCTTATTCAGCAAAAATATTTTATGGGCGAATTATGAAAGTGGAATTCTGAAAACTTTTGCTGGGTGTATTAAGACTGCAGTAGAATTAAAGTGTGAGAATTGTGTAGAGTTGACTGTAATGACAATGAAATTTTGGAAATTTTAATTCAATTATATGTGATAAAATTTAATCTGCATGTGTTTTTCTTCCTTCAAAAGGCCCTTTAACTATTTTTCCCTTAAGACAATAAAAGAGGCAGCCTTACATATTTCATATGACATGAGTCACTTGATTTTTCAACTAAAAGATGCTCAACAAAATTTCTTTCAGTGTTCTGGCCATTTTGCCTTATGGATTTGATTATGCTTATAAAGATTGCAAAACAATAAAACCAAACCAAACAAAAAAACTATTTCAATTTGCATGCACATTTTAAAGTGAATTCATATTTTCAAAATATGGTGACACTATGACAAGGGAAATTACTATACAATGTAAATCCACATTGACTCAATTTTATGAAATAAGTACATTCAGTCCAGCTGTGATTAAATAAGGAGCAGAAAGAAAAACTTGTTTTGTTTTTCCTGATAGCACATTATTAAAACAGTTTAAAATTTTGTCAATTTATTCAACAAATATTTATTGAGCCAACTATCTGCTGACACTTTTTGAAGTATTTGGCATAATCAGTGAACAAAAACAAAAATCCGTATTTAAAGACTGTAAAAATTTTCAAGTTAAAACCCCCTAAGTTTGAAGAATTTTAGACACCATGAGAGACCTTTGGATAGCTATTCATTTCCTATGTTATTACAGAACTTTCTGGAAACATTCAAGAAACACTGATTTAGATGCTTTCTTATTTGTGTAAATATGTAGTTAGTTAATTTGAGAACTAAAAGGCTGCTTGAGTGAGTGTGGAAAACGTGAGCTCATGGAACCGGGTAACCTTGAAGGGTACAGGTGTGATAGAGATCAGTCTGGAGGAACCTCCTGCTCCCAGGGCAGAATGGAATAGTTCTGGGTCCAGAATGTCATGATCTCAGACCCCAGTCTTTTCCATTACACAGCAGTGGATCAACACTGGATATGCTTGCTCCTGGGGTACATTTCCCTCCTCTTCTTGAAGCCTGTTTTTCATTTAGACAGAGCTCAGAGTAGTTGATTCTCATCTCCTTTTGTTATAATCACATTGCATTTCTTTTTCTTTGACTCTGTATTTTATTCTCAGATGCAATTAGAATTTTCTCCATGCTCAACCAATTCATATACACAACTGTATGATATTCTAGATTCTTCTAAAAATGGACTTATGTGATTATGTGCCTATTTTTTATTTTTATTGGAGAAAGATATTACTTTCCATTTCTGGGGTGTCTCATTTTGCTCTTATGGTCTACTACATGAAGGTATAGATGGCTTATTTTATTTATTCAATTATCTGGATAAAAGTTTAGATTCTAGTGATAGTCAGAAGAAAATGACAATAACAGAATTTGAAAAGAGTATCAGTCTACACCTTGTTCTCTTTGCCTGTCTTTTAAATCCCTCAAAGTGAGGTCCTCTGATGGCCTCCTATCGTTTCTCGTTCCTAAAGACAGCCCAGATGAGAGCTCAGGCTGTCCTGACCTTCTACTTATTTCAGCTTTGTGGTGATTACAGTCTAGCTGCCTACAAACAGGTCCTTCACTTGTTACCCAAGTCTCCTTGGCTCCAAATTCCGTCAAGATCTGATGTGCCAGTGAAGACCTCTCCAGTCTTATTTCCAGCGGAAACGTCCCTCCCCACCTCTAGCTGCATCTCTTTCTTTCATGCTGGTCCCCAACACTGGGCTTCTAGATGCAGTATCTTGCTTCTGCCTATTTCTTTCCCTGGACATGTCATTCCTACCCTAGTTCTGGACCTAGTGTCTGGACTCAACTGCTTTATGAAGAATCTCCTTGAGGATTACTATCAGCCTGAGTTCTGGGCACACCCAACCTGGAGTCCTTGATGTGCTTTTACAAGGCTCTTGGTTTGCCTGGGAAAGCCTAGTATTTGCTTTTACGGAGGTAAATTTATTCGGCTTTGATTCCCTGGGCTATACCACCACCAGGTTCCTTTCTAACGAGGTGACATAACTGGTCTCAGCTTTTCTTCACTTGCCTGAAATTTCCTAGGAAGAATCTATATTCCCAGTGATCTACCTTCTGAATCTGAACATGTAGAGACTATTGTCAACTTTCACCCCTACATGTAACTTCCTTTTATTTATTTGTTTATTTGTTTGTTTATTTATTTATTTATTTTGTTCTTCTTTTTTCCTTTTAAAATATTGTAAATAGTCATTGACTTTCACTGAAAATGAACAATTATTAACTCAGAGAATCATTTACTGAGTTAATTGTAATACAGAATTTCTTAACTCAGAGATATTATTATCTCAGAGAATCATTTACTGAGTTAATTGTAATACAGAATTTCTTGCAAAGATTGAAATGAAAAAAAAAATATTTTAAGAAAAGCTAGGTTGAACTGTGTACATTTTGAGTTTAGACTTAATAAAAATGTTCAGCTTTCCTGAAGACCAGTGTAGAATAGGAGAAAGATGGAAATGTCCTCACTGTATAAAGATGCCACGGCGGGTGTTTCCACACCTACTTTATAGGGTAGCTTCCTATGACTGAAGGACATATCAGTACCAAATAGTGGTTTAATTTTAAAAATCTTTGTAGGGAATCAGATTCACTTTTTTTTAGGTCTAGATGTGTTTTCAGAATGACATGGAGTTTGGCTAAATCCTCTATGTAGAATAAAATCATATTTTGTGAATGATAATCTGGTCATCTTCATTGCAAAAACAAATAAAAGTTATGGAAAACTTTTGATAAAATGAATTATGCAAAGATCATTTATATTTTTGTACTTGGCTTTGACATAAGGCTATGGGGAGAACTTGTGCCAATGTGGTGCGCATTCACACACATGCAGACACATAGACGCAGAAACTCAAACATTCTTCTCTGCCGTATTCTTATTCCTTTCTGAAATGACATATAATATTAGTAATACTCAATTGAAATAATATCATATTTTCTCCAAATTTCTGCTAAGAAAAACGTTAATTGACATAAGTGTTTCTGAACAAATATTTCTGAAATGTTTACAAATCCCTAAGTCCAGCAGTGATGGCATAATGAAGGGTATGGTACTGGGATGAAAATGCCTATCTAAAGTAGAAAACTACTGGTTAAAAATCACAACTCATCAAGAAATACTGTTCAAGGATAATTTCCATTTACCTGATAGTTTTTTTTTCCATAAAAGTGTATAAAATACTCTAAAAAAGAGAAAATAAAACATTTAAATAATCTGTTTTAGTTTCTTCATCTTTACAATCAAGGAGTTAGACTTAATGCTAAGTTTTTTTTTTTTCATCTCTAATGTTCTATTTTAGTCAACATAGGATGTTAAAATGTGCCCCACTGTAAATCAATTGATAATAGAAAACACAGCTTAAAATGATGAAGCCTAATCTATAACCCTTTTAATTTACAGATAACAAAGGCAAGTCCCAGTGAAGTAACACTACCACCCAATGCTACTCATCCATTTGGGCATCTTCCACTTCTTCCACATCTTCCTAATCGTCAAATATTTTGCTTTGTTTTGTTTCATTAAAAACTCTGTATTTCCACTCCCCACACCTGGAAAATCTGCTTTAGTAATTATGGGGTGAGGTCAGTAATCTAATTTTGTAAAGAGATCCTCAATATTTTGACTTGTAGTTAAAGATCTGAACCACGGACCTTTTCCCCTTCTAGGTGAAATGCATATTATATGAATAACATCAGTTGTGTCTAGGTTACTTTTATCTGAGAGGCTTCCTATGGAAAAGGATATTCCTGAAAGAAATAAGAATTAAAAGAGTGGATCAATAGCCTTTACTTATCATCTGCTCCAACCTCACATTCTATAAGTTTAATTCAGCTCAACTCCTGGAAACTCCCTCATTGGAAAGTCTAAATCTATTTGTCACCATGTAACAGTCTCCGGCCTGTCAAGGCAGACTGAGATGTGGAAATTCTTTACTTGGTGTATTATGAAGTGAGTTTCTCTAAATTGTTAAAATATATAATAAGGAGAAGGTTCTTTGGATACTTTTGTCTTAAGAACTTATTGACCATTTTGGTAGTAAAAAAAAAAAAAAGCTTAAATAAACTCAATATCCAATAACATAGTTGATTTTATAGAGAGACAATGACTACCAAAATTGCTTCTAAGACACTCCATGTGGATTCCAAGTACCTCAACATTCATATATCTGTCAGTTCTCAACAGAGACTGTATGTGTTCACTGTATGCAAATTGTGGTGAAAATACATGTTTCTGTCCCTTATGCTACTCATGGGTGCCACAGTTTAGTTTAAGGCTTATTTATGTAGCACACTATAAGAAATACATTACGATTCAGCCCTCAGTGAAACATCATTCCTGACTTTCCTTGTTCACAAAAGAGTAAATTAATCTTTTATCTACTAATTTTAGGAAAAAAGTTAAAAAAAGAAAAAAGTAAATGACTTACCTTTAAATAGGCATGACTCCAAAGAAAGTAGCTGAACTAAAGTTTTTAACAAAAAGTAGAATTCAACATAATTGAATTTCTTTTTATATCCTATTTAAAGAATGTTTGTTATTGAATTTGACAAAGTAAATTCATTTTTAAATCATGTTTACAAGGCAGTCTCATGATACTGGCTCTGAGGATCAAGTATATTTTAAAGCCATAATAGACTACCAAATGCAATATAAAAACTTTTGTGAACATTTTATGTTTGCTTTAGAAGGCTGATCTGTTAAACCTGTGACAATTTTATTTACTTATAAGAGTAAAATATGAGATCAATGGTATTATCCTTATATGAGTTAAGAAATTATTTATGAGTTGTATATAGAAATCTACCAATGTTAGATATGTATATAATTCTTATTTTGCAATGCAGCTGGGTCAAGGAAGTGGTTAGTTAATATACGTACCTCAAATGCTTTAAGTGGATACCTATGAAAAGGTATACAAAATATAAATAGTGCTGTATATTTTCAAAAGTTTTAAATAAACACAAAGAATATATAGGTATACATGTTATAATTTCAAAGTCAACACTAGCACATAAGTTTTCTTATCTAAATACATACTAGGATACTTCCTATTTCAACACATGCACTTACAAACACATGGCCATGCACATAACCTTGCTTTCTGCCACTTGCAAGAAAGTTAGAATATACAATATAGTACATTGTTTCAACTTAAATCATATTGTCAAATTAATGAGAATGGCATTAAAAAATTCTGATATAAGAAATCAACATTAAGAAAGATAATTATTCCATAGATTAAAAACACTGAAGACTGATGGGAAGTTAAGATTTAAATTGTTTGTCCCAGTCATCTTGAAAGATACAGACGAGACAGGATTGCCTGTCAACACTCAGAATGCTCTGTTTGGAAATTGGGATTTTTGAAATGTAGCAATTCAGGCCAGAGACTCAGACCACCGATGCTTCAGAACGCAGAGAAATAGTATAGCTCTGGGCAGTTCTCCGCAAGGCTGGGGGCCCCGATGGAGATCTTGACGCCCATCTGGATGGGAGACGGCGATTTGCTGGTCTAGCCGGGCGGGAAAATCCTTTGCCAGGTGAAAATTTCACTGCCATGGATTCCTACAACACAAAAGAAAACATTCAACTAACTATACCAGCACCAACCCTGGGCTTAATATTTTATGAATCCCAACACTGGGATTAATGTATTAGTATATTTACAAGCAAGAAAAAGCATAAAAAACTAAAGAAGATATAATGTTTGTGGTCTTGAATATTTTCATTAAAGCAATTCACTTTTAATATGGAATATAACATTTAATCATTTCTTCACATTGACAAATTTTAACACAACTGATCTTCTTTTAGAATTAAAGTTCAGTATTCAGAAGTTCCTGTTAGGTAACTTTGATATGATGGAGCTGCAGATGTTTCTTGGGAGGATTTTATAATGTTTTAGTGTTATTTGGAAAAAAGGTACTTTATATAAGAAATTTCACTTTTCCCAAGTTATTGATACTTTTAGAGGTCATAAGCAAAAAACATACAAACCATCAAATTATATACCTGATGCTTTTTTTTTACCCACTAAGAACCACTGTTACTAACTCTCAAAAATATCAAAATTGCTAACATATAATTACTATCAGCATTGGGCATCATTTGATGACTGATTTTTTTTTTTCTTTCCTTTCTTTCATGTCTTCCTTTTTTTCTTTCTTTTTAATTTTTCTTTATTGATTTTTTTTAGAGAGAGAGGAAGGGAGAGGGAGAGAGATAGAGGCATCAATGAGATAGAACATTGATTGGCTGCCTCCTGCATGCCCCCACTGAGGATTCTTAACCCTTGCAATTAAAAAGAAAATTACAAAGCTTATGCAACCCATCTTATACCTTTGGTTGTTACTGACCTTTTTAACAAAGCCTTTGTTCTTTCATCCAAGATAGACAGTGAGGATGGCCTCAATTCCATGATAGTAACCTGCATTTTCTTTTTCTTTCTTTGTAATCTTATTTTTTTAGAGGTAAGAGGGTGAAAAGCTACCTCTAAGGATCCACAGTAGAGGACCCCTCCCAAACCTCCAACAAATGCAAAAATTGGAAATATTTAGTAATAGTCCTTGTTAAGTAATGAGAATTTGGCTGCTTATTGTATTCATGTTTCCATTCCCCACCTGAAGCTATAGTACCTTCTAGGTATTTATGGGTTCAGCTAAGAAAGAAAGATACATACATGCACCCTTTTGTTCACTGCAGAGTTATTTACAATAGCCAAACTGTAGAAGCAACCCATGTGCCCATCAATAAATAGATGAGTGAATAAAAAAGCTGTGCTGCATATATAAATGGACTATTACTCGACCATAAAAAAGAATGAAATTTTACCATTTGCATTGATAAATGCACCTAGAGTTCCCTAAGTGAAATCAGTCAGTTGGTGAAAGAAATACCATTTTATTTCACTTATACATGGAATCTAAAGAACAATATAAATGAACAAACAAAACAGAAACAAACTCACAGATGCAGAGAACAGGCTGATGTTTGCCAGAGGGGAGGGGGTTGGGGAACTAGGTGAGAAAGGTGAAGAGATTGAAAGGTACAAATTGGTAGTTAAAAAATAGTCATGGAGATGTATAGTACAGCATAGAAAATAAAGTCAATAACATTGTAATAATTAGGTATGGTGCCAGGTGAGTCCTGGAAATATCAGGGTGAACACTTTATAAAGTATGTGATTGTCTAACCAGTATGTTGTACACTGCAAATTAATTCAAAGTAATATTGAATGTAAACTGTAACTGAAGAAATAAAAAAATTAAAAACGTAAAAAAGTAAAGACACAAAAGCAGAATAATTATTTGTACCTTGTGAAAAAATAAAATGGATGAAAACTAATATTTTTAGCAATTTGTATGCTAAGAATTTATACAAATTAATGTATAATAGCCTGCTAGCTCCACAAATAAGGAAACTTTATAAGGCACTGTTTTAGATTATATGTTTTACCCATATTCTCCATGTATGTAAACAATCTCTTGAGAAAAAACATGAATCAAATGCTGGGAATGACTGAACCATTCATCGTTAATAACTAAAAAGTGCAAGTTATTTTTAAAATATTTCCCAAATACTTTTAAAAACAAATAAAAAAGATGAAACTCTATAAATCAACAAATGCATATACAGAATACTTTCTCAACACACTTACAACATTTGATCTTTTTGAGGTTCTTAAGCCTATTTATTACATTTATGTTATCCTATTTCAGAATTTTAAAAAGTGATAATGTCCTAACCCCAGTCTTAAAACTACACTTTTAAAAGCCCATGTTGAGTTACAATCCTAAGGTTTATAGTTGTTCACAAATGAAGGATTAAAAAGTTAAGAAGATGCCAAAACATGCATCTGCCTTCTATTTATGTAAATTCAAGGGACTGAACTCGGAGCCTTGACTAAATATGAATGTAGTTATACCAAAATATGTAAATGGCTTTCTCACCTCTGTTATCTTTTTCCAATCCACTCCTTGCTTCACTTGCTGTGCCGCACACATAGCTGATTTTCCTTGGAGCTCTTGTTCAATTTGGAGCATTTCTAAATGCTTACTTAATGTGGCCCCAACACTGACATCAGAGTTACATTTGGTCCAATTATCCTGGCAGCATTTAGAATGTTGCAATGCAGACCCTGTTGATATCTCACAGGTTTTCATCAGCTTTTCCACAACACCATAATTTGACCTAGGATCAGCTGATCTTGGTCGGCCAGACAAATTACTAGGTCTCCAGTCATGCTCATGGAGCATATTCCGATAACTGCTAGCATTTATGTGTTCCTGTGTTTGTCTGACTAGGCCTGTTGTGGATCTTTGGGTGGGATTATCAGGCTCAATTTCTCTAGGCACAGGCATGTGGGCACTGGTTTTCAGACTATCAGGCACATTGTCATTTTTTGGTATGTTGCCTGCACAAGTAATTAAGGTATCACAGGGCTTAAGATCTTGCGATGATTCTGAGTAGCTTTGACTCTGCTGTACTGCACGACAATTTCTATCTGTTCTGAATACGGTTCTGTTAAACTCATCAGTCTTGGCTGCCAGCTTTTCATTCCTAGTAGTCTTTTCAAAGCCACAAGTGAAGCTTCGGAGTGGGCCACTGCTCGCTGTCACGGAGGATCTATAGTCATTGCTTACATGAAGGTCAGAATGAGATTTAGCAGGATGATCTGGGATCATCTTTTCGTATTTTGACTTATTGGGAGTAGAGCAGGTTTTCTGAAACCACAAGGTAGAGGGGCTGTTTTTTGTGCCTCTCACAGTGTCATAAGACCACATGCCAAATCCAACATTTTCATTACGTGGAGGCTTGTTACCTACTTTGGCTTCAGGTGCCAAGGAAGAAAACATGATCCCATCTTTCAAAGTCTCCCCTTCAATTAGACACGGTGCAGACATCTCATCATGCCTCAGAAGGACATGAGGACTGCAGTTGCTTTCACCTTGACCCTCTTGGACCAACTGGCTGCTGTGGTCTAAACTTTCCTTCAGACTTTCATGGGCATGTTCAGGATATGAGCCAGGAAAATTTCGAGATGTACTTCTTGGAGGAGGAACTGGTGAAATTTCATTTCTTTGTAGATCAACTGTATCAATTCCATATTTTTTCATAAAATTGCTTTGGAGCATATTAGTATAACTCAGATTCTTTCTATTTTTCTGTTTTTCTCTTTCTAAATTGATTGGAAGAAGGCACTGGCCATTGTTGATCGTGTGGTCTCCAGGAGGTATGTTAATTACATTTGGAATTTCCTGGAGAAAAGAATCTGACTTCATCCTAAACAATGATAAACCATGATATATTAGTGATAACTTTATTTAGGACAAGCTTTTCAAAAAAATCAACAACAAACAAACATGGCTTAAGCAATGGATTTCTGCTATAGGAAAAGGAGTCACAACTTCCTGACGCATCATTTTTCTGTAAATCCCCTAATCAAAACCTCCAAGTCATTTTTACTGTAGGATAAAGTACACGTCTCAGTGTTGCATTCCAGGCTCCGCATACTGTGACCCAAACTATCTTTCCAACCTGGTCTCTCATTTTTTCTTTACCTAAACTTCACCTATATCTGGACTAGATCATGTATAGTCTCCTGCATTCCCATTTCTACAGGTTTCTCTATTCATTTCCATACCTCCACCCTGCTACTGAATTCCTAGTCACTATATCATGTGAGCTCAAGTTCCTCCCCTTGAATTTAAAGTAATATTCTAAGTAATATGACAGAAATCTGAATAAAAGTGAAACAAGACATGAGTGATACCCAATGAAAGGTGTCATTGGGGCTTGAAAAAAAAGTTAGAATGCTTTGGATAGGTGAAGGGCGGACAGGCAAATTGAGCAGCAGTTAAAGCAGTGTGCCTATTCAAGAAACAGTGAGCACTTTGATGTGGACGGATTATAAAGCAGAGTGGGGAGGATGATGGAAAATAAGTGAGAAACACTAGATAACTGTAATGTCTTTGAATTACATATTAAGGATTTTGAACTTTTTCCTAAAGGCCATGTAGTAACAAGGAGAACTTTGTACCAGGTGTAATTTGTTAAAGAAAATTGACATGTAAGTCTTTTCTGAGTTCAATCAAAACCTAATTCTAAATAGAGTAACAATAGGGATTCACAAATTAAAGTTAACTAATCATACTGACAAATATAAATCGTATTTATATCTCTTCAACTTGTAAAATGCTATGTGCTATCTCACAATAAAGTGCAGATAGATACTCACTAGCAGAGCACGGTACACAAAAGCTAAATGAGCAAGCAGAGGGCAACATGATGGATGAAACATGACTAGAGAAGAAAATGTATTGCAAGTCTGCGCAAAAATTCTCTCTGAGCTTCCTAAGAGCTAAAGACAATGCAGGGGACACATTGCTATAACTTTCCAAGAGAAGTATCCTGCCTCACTAGAAGATAAATGTCGATCCTGGGACAATCCATCTTTACATAACTTGTAGAAAATTCCAATTTATTTTTTAATTTGGTTAAAACTTACTTTTACAATTATATAGATACTTCTCAATTAAAATACTATTTTTATAGCATTGCATGTATGTGTGTACATATTTCTAATATATTTTTCTGCAAATGATATGTGCTTCCATTATATACATAATAGATGTAGAGAAATAAATGACCCTTAGGTACAAAACATTTCAGTGGAACATCATGTAATTAAAACACCACACTGTTAAATTTGACATAGTTTAAATATGTATTTAACTGGATTAGCACCGTTGTTTACTCTTCTGCTGGCTAAATGCTCAAAATGAAAAAAGAAAAAAAACTTTATTAGAATATACTTGCTAATTTATTATGGATGGTATCCCTTAACTAAATACCAAAAGAATAAAGTATTCCTGATAGTCGTATTACAAAGAGAATTAGTAGATCTGTTTTAAAAAATTAGCAGAGAAATATTCAATTAAAGGTTTTATCTCTTATCTAAGATAATAAATTAACAAAGTGTAAGAAATTCCTAAACTGAAAACAGTACTTTTCTTAGTTTTCCAACATAAAATAATCACAGATGTACCAGCCTACCTTCTATGGTTAGAACGTTTTCGAATTTCCTCTTGAAAGCAGCATAATTCTTCACTGACTTTGGCAAGTTCTTCAAGTGCCTTTATATATATAAGCAATAGCGTGTTAACACTTTGAAATGTAAATAATTCCTCAGAAACAGTTCTAGGTCGGTCACATCTTACTTACTGCGTTGAGGGCGCCACAGCGGCCCATGTTTGCTTCCTCAGGAGTTCTCGGGTCGGGCCGGGCCTCACAGTCCTTTCGGTTGTCCGTGGCCAAAGGATCCACAAACCCGACCTTTGATTTTTTGGTTGCTTTTTGTTCCTTACATATTTGATTTCCTTCACTGAGTAAGCTCTGCTCTGTTTTATTTTCTTTTTCCAGACCATCCCTGTGATTCATGCCTTTAAATTCACATTGTCCTGGATTGGGGTAGTTTGGAGAAGATTCCACCAATTTACCTTGCATGGCCTTCTCACGATCAAGATCAATGACCTTAGCACGTTCATTCATGTTGATTTTCCTCCGAAGCTTTACTTCATGGCAAAGCTGTAATGAAAACAAACATAAAACTTTTTCCCTCCCTTAATTTACTTTGTCATATTTTTGGAGCTCAGCACACTGTTTTGAGTTCTCTTTGCCATATGACTATGACTATATACTAGCCCTGGGGTAGGATTGCTTATGCCTCTAAATAGTGCTTCTAAAATCTGGATTTGCCAGGAAACTTGGATAAACCATAAGGACTACTTTTCGCAGGCCAAAGCATCAATGATAATTTCTGTCCTTCTGCATAGGAATCAACTCAGTCAAAAATAAATTAAACCTGTATCTACATACACATATCATTATAATACAGAAGCACTGTCACAAAATTGAATGATCTGAATCAGTTACTAGCTATGCTCTCTCATTGCTCTTAGAGAGAAGCAAGAGTTTAACTAACATTAAAGTCATAGTAATGCGACCTTGTCCTATGAGCTATAAAAGAACTCTAAGACTCTGATAATCTATTAGCCTATGTTAAAGTGGACTCCAAATTATTTCACTTTTTAAATCCTCACCTGAGGATATGTTTTTATTGGTTTTTAGAGAGAGAGAGAGAATCATCGATGTGAGAGAGAAAAATCGATCTGTTGTCTCCTATATACGCCCCGACCAGGAATCACACCTGCCACATTTCTGGTATATGAGATGATGCTCCAACCAACCAAGCCACCCAGTCAGGGCCCCCCAATTATTTCCTGATGAGAACTTAGTTTAAGCTGCAGGGACTCACTCAGCTCACCTCTGAATAGAGGAAGTAAATGGCTTTCTCTTCTGGCTTGAGTTCTGGGAAAGCTTGTCAAATTTCAAAGGAGACTATCAAATAACTATTAAAGCAAATGACTACATTTTACAGCCACAGCCTATATTTGCACTACATCTATTATTTAAGGAATAAGAGATTTATTGCTGTTCAATATTTACCTAAATCTCAGATGAGAGAAACACTATACATAGTCGATGCCGGAAGGTTATACAGTGCATTTATTTCCCTAGATACTTATAAATCTGTCAACGGGTGAAGTCAGGATAGCATCAACTTGCAGGCATGGCCCCTGTAAAATTTTATACTGAACTGTTGTGGGCATTATGGTTATGGTGACCTTGAGGATATTATAAGAAATGATGCTCAAAAGTGCCATGTTAAATCTGAGGATGCTGTTGGAGGTGTACTCTTTTTTTTATACCTCCTCACCAGAGGACATTTTTACATTTATCTTCAGATAGAGTGGGAGGGAGGGGGAAGAGAGAGAAAGAGAAACATCGATGTGAGAGAAACACATATCGACTGGTTGCCACCCACACAACCCCAACCAGAGCCGGGGACAAACTGCAGCAGAGGTACGTGCCCTAGTGGGAACCGAACCCGGGACTCTCTGGTCCTCAGGCCAATGAGCCAAACTGGCCATGGCTGGAGGTGTCCTCTTTTGAGGAGTCATGGGTAAAAACAAGATTGCTTTAGTTTTTTTTTTTTTTTTTTTTATTCTCACCCGAGGACATTTTTCCATTTTTTGTTCAGATGGAGCGGGAGGGAGAGAGAGGAAGAGAGAGAGAAACATCGATGTGAAGGGACACATCGAGTGGTCGCCACCCGCACGACCAACCAGGGCCGGGGACAAACTGCAACCGAGGTACGTGCCCTTTGCGGGAACCGAACCCGGGTCTCTCTGTACCGCAGGCCGACACTCCAACCGCTGAGCCAAACCGGCCAGGGCTGTTTTTTTTTTTTATATATGTTTTTATTGATTTCTTTTTAGAGAGAGAGAAAGGGAAAGAGAGGTAGAAACATTGATGTGAGAGAGAAATATCGATCAGCTGCCTCTTGCACGACCCCTACTGGGGATCAAGCCTGCACATGCCCTACCTGGGAATCAAACTGGGATCTCTCAGTTCATGGGACAATTCTAAATCCACTGAGCCACATGGGCCGGGCAAGACTGCTTTAGTTTCAAAGTCAGGGACAGAAATGCTATTCCCAGAAAATAAGTTTGCTTTTGTTTTCTGAATATTGAGAAACATGCATCTGACAATTTTTTGTGTTGGTTACTAGGAAGATAGACTTGCTGCATGCATTTTACATGGGATCATTCTCTTGTCTTGATCTCGCCTCTCTTTTTGTTTTGGGATACTGTGCCTTATGCAGAATTTTATATGCCATCATAAATTCTCTTGGGAAGGTAAATGAGGTATGATTAAGAAAATGACATAATGATATTGATAGAAAACTATTTTGTATAAGGAAATCTGGTACCCAGTCATTGTCAATGGTAGTCTAATCATACAAACAAAGGAGATATAAGCAGGAAAGACTGCAATGTGATAAAAAAAAAAAAAAAATCCCAGGCACCTATGTAGTTTATATAGAGTTTCTATCTGGATTATACCAGGTTTCAAATGGTCTAAATGTGTACAGTGATACCTCGGTTCTTGAACGCCTCGGTTTTCGACCAAATCGGTATTCGACCAGGAGATTCGAGAAACTTTTGTCTCGGAATCCGAACAAATATTTGGAACTCGAACTTCCGAGATGAGCCGAGTTGAGCCGAATGGCGTTCATTCGGCCCAGCGCGCCTTGCTTGCGTCCTCAGTGTGAGTGCAGAGAGAGAGTCACGCTTTGTGGAGTCACGCTTTCCTATTGGGTTTCATTGCTTCGGTTCTTGAACAATTCGGTTCTCGACCATCCTCCTGGAACGAATTATGTTCGAGAACCGAGGTATCACTGTATCTTGGTTTTACAATAGCAAATGCAATGATCATAGATAGTGGCTGAACAGAGAATCATTAGCATCTTAATGCCCAATTCTGGAAGCTCTCACTGATTATATTATTACTTGGAATCATTAAAGTTATAGGTGTGTTCCTGAAAATCCACAATTCTCTAATACATTGCTTACTAACTTGTATCTGATTTAATACACATAATTTAATGATCAATGTTTAACAAATACAATCTTGTCCAGCTGATGTGGCTCAGTGAATTGAGCGTCGTCCCATGGACGGAGAGGTCCCAGTTTGACTCCTAGTCAGAGCACATGCCTGGGTTGCAGGCTCAATCGCCAGTGGGGGGCGGGGGGGCATGCAAGAGACAGCCAATCAATGTTCCTCTCTCACATCGATGTTTCTATCTCTCTTCCTTCCTCTCTCTCTAAAAAAAAAAATCAGTAAAAAACATTTAAAAAAATAAAGAAATACTATCTATTACACTTGTGCTATGTTATCATTTTTCCAAGTATTGATTTTTAATTTTAGTTTAAAACAAATTATCTTGATTCTCTGTGACATGTGAGGGATACTTTCTTTCTCTTTCCCTCAGTCTTTTCTACTCCCAGCTTTGTAGCTTGTAGGAAGTAATATATAAAAAGTACGTTCATGTGGGTTACAAAGCTGGGACTTCGAAAGAAACATATCTTTGTATTGTAAGGGGAGCATGATGCTAGTGTTCAGGTATTGAAGAGCACCATCTATAGGTATTCTGGGTAAGCACATTTTTTAAACACATTCTCTGGTTATAGTGCTGTACACCTCAAGCAGCCAGGGGAAGAAAAGAACATTACAGTCCTTCTCTCTCCTTGATGCAGAAAGGAACAATATTTCCATGGACTGTCAGCCCAAGTTTAAAGCATGTTTAATGCTTGCTAATTGATAAGGCTAATATTTGCCATAGATGGAATCTAAAGAGCTGTCAGAATAATTATTTTACAATAACAAATTTAACCAGGCGGCAGATTATTTTTGCAACATGGCTAAAACCATTGGCTAGACTAATCTGGATTCCCTTAATTCTTTTGCTTGGATGCTAGAACTGTTTGTGATAGTTACTAACTGGACCGTCCAAACTTTTGGGAGCCAGTGACCCATGAATTAAGGTTGCTGACTGAAGTTGTGGATTCTGATTTGACCTAGGCATCTCCTTGTTGATCCCATCTGAGTCTCTGGGAGGAGGAAGCAAGAGAGTGAGCAAAACACCTTTACCAACTATAGAGATGAGCGGTGGCTTCCCCTTTCAGTCTCGAATTATACACTACAATTATTTTAGAGAAATAATTTAATAGCTACTCTTTTAAAAAAATTTTTCTTGTAGCATGCCAATTTGTATTTTATTCACAACCAATTACATGGCTGTTAAAAGACACATATTTGCATTATAACACATAAAGCACCAGCTTTGATTGAATCTGACTAAAGACCAAGGAGTCTATTGAAATGATTGCTTTAACAATGAGCACAAAACCATGTAAGTTGATACCATGGATGCTTCAAGAGGAAAGCAAGATTAGTTGAAACAAGCTTAAATAAACATCAGTGTACATGCTTAAAGGGAATATTCTAGGCCCCACATGCTAAGGAAGGTTAATGGGGATTAAATGACTCTTTGTATCAGAGTCACTGAACATCATTTTTATTTATTTATTTTATTCATTTTTCGGTTATTCATCACTCAAGGATATTTTTCCTTAGATTTTTAGACAGAGTGGAAGGGAGGGAGGGAGGGAGAGAGAGAGAATCATCGATGTGAGAGACACATCGATTGGCTGCCTCCTACACCACCCCAACCAGGGCCGGGAATGAACCTGCAACCCAGGTACATGCCCTTGACTGAGAATCAAACCCGAGACCCTTTGGTTCACAGGTCAACACTCTAACCACTGGGCAAAACTGGCCAGGACATGGCATGTCATTTTCGTTGCCCCTTTTCTAAGATATGTGCAGTAAATGTGGCACACCCCACCAGAATAAATGTCATGTCCGCTGCCATTTTGTTTGAGGTATGATATTTCTTCTGATTTTACTGAATTATTAGTCAATATTAGTCATGAGTTATCTCAGGAAGGATCTTCAACTTAATGCTCAGTTGTAATTTTGCTAATTTGTTTCACCAATTAACTCTTTCATACATTTTTTTCCCTCCTGGACCCGGTATTTAAAAACTCATGAAAAATTTACCTACTTCACTTTTGATATCATGGCACTCTAGGCAGAAAATAATAAACGGATACACTTTACAGTGACATTTTCAGTTCTTAATTTTCACTCAAGGCTGTAAAATAAGTCTAGTCCGTATGACACCATTGGGTAAGGTTACGCTATTTTGGGTGTAGTAAATGTCACTGAGACATGCATCTCTTAAGTGGAATAGAAAAATAAAAATAGTTTGCAATGCAAAACAAACTTCAACAGTTTCCAGTGGATTCAAAACCAGTCAGCGTGTACCTCCTCTATCTTCTTCTGCATGATCTTCCATTGGGTTTCCCATTCCTTCCTTTCATTGTCAAACTGGTCCAGTAACTCCATCTTTTCCTTGTGCCAGTCAGTCTCTGTGTTCGCCCACTGCTCATGCAGGTCCATGGCGGCCACGCGAGTGCAGTGAAGGGGAGCTTCTGCTCGTCTCTGCTTCTCCTAACTGTTTCTTGGAAGCTTGGAGTTGTTTTATTTGAAGCTGTCTCACTGGCCTTTACAATAAAGCCTAATATAAACATAACGAGAGAGAGAGTTCCAAGTCACATGCTTTCTGGAAACATTTTATCATTTTGTCAAAGGCCATCGACATAAACGAGTTCTAGGAAACCCGGACTTAAAAGAAGAGAAGAGATGCCAATCTACTTGGAAAGAAACAAACAGGGCAAAGAAAATAAGCAGTCTAAAAGAGTTTTTTCTGCCCCTTTCTAAGACCAGATGGAAAAATTATAGTGACCAAGATGGTTAAATGTACATGTGAGATATAAGGAGTCCTTGAACTAACAGCCTAATCTAAACAGGATTTCTTCATGACGCTCTAAGAGCAGAAGTCTGAAATTCAATTGCATGGTCACATCTGCACAAACGTGGCAGAGTCTGCTGCAACAAGACTACTCCTTTTGTTCCACTTATGCAGCCAGATTATATATTTATGTGACTTAAAGTCCTGAGACAGTGCTGGACTAGACGCCAAATTTTATATTCAAAGCTCAAGCCCATGCAAATGGGATTACTGTATTAATAAGACCACAAAATTGGTAGTCAATCTGAGACTGGTATATTAGCAAGAAACAAAACTAAATAACAAAAAAATACTTTTGTTATTTTACTTTATCAAATACAGTGTAAAATCAGCTAAACTATCCTGGGAACCAAGTGGTAAACTTTATCCATGCTTTCTTTTCCTTCTAATAGATTATATACCAGAACCTATTTAGGATACTGAATACAGGGAATCAAAGAAAACATTTTGTTTCTTTGCAGAGAAATCCTCCATCACCTTAAGCAGTACCTAAAATAATTAGATTTTTAGCATTTAAGTTATGTGTATTTAGGGTTTAAAAATGCAATTTAAAATACCAGATTAGTAACTCTGCTATAAATCATCTAAATTGTTTGAGATGTAGTTTATTTACATTAAACTAGAGTTAATCACAGGGTTGTTCTGAAGATTAAATGACATAGGAAATGCAAAACAGTTTGAGAAACTTAAAATTTTCCTTAAAAAAATCTTGCTCTGACTTCCACTGGAAATAATTTTTATTATTGAAGTCATTTACTTTTTTAATGGGTCGAGAAGTAAGCTTAAAATATTTGACTCTCATTCTAAGATAATCATGCCTATGAAAAATCTAACTCTTCAGGTTTCTAGGCCATGACAAAAAGGTCTTAACGTAGCAGGTGGCAGGTTATGCTAATTGCAAGTGTTAATAGCTGCCGGAGTTAATAGCTGCCTGCGTGCTGGATCTGGGGACTGAAGCCAACATACCCAGGCAGCATGACTCATTTTGTGGAACAGAAGACGGCTGTATATCATAGCCCAAATATAAGAGAAACATTGAAGACTACTTTCAATTTTTATCAGACCGCTCTGAACATTCATATCTAAGCAGTAAACTGTTCCAAGCATGTATTTTCTGAGCTACTACTTAGCAATGAATTATAATAGACTGATAAGGATAAAAATGTTAGTGCTACATGCAGTGTTCCACCTTCAAAAACACCGTAATGATACTGGGGTCTGGATTGTTTCTCTTTTCTCAAACAATTTGCTACAGATACTTGGATCATTTTTACCTATTTCTTTGGCACTCACAATACTATGATTAATTCACTCAAGAAAAAAAAGTCATTTCAGATGGAACCATTAAAGATGTTATCATGTTTCATTTTATCCACTTAGCCATGCTTTTTCTAATCTCATTTTCACTCTCTGCCATCCTTCCTTCTGGTTTCGACCCTCTATACCTATGAGCCAGGAACCGTAAGTACCTGCCCTAGCAAATGTAAGCTGCCCCCAAACAAAAATCAATGAAGACAAAATTAAGATAGCAGAGAATATACAGAATTTTGTTTTTTGTTTTGTCAACTCTGTCACTGATTTTGATTATGTAGTCATCTTTTAGGTTCATTTAATAACTATTCCTGGGACTGATTATTTTCAGAGACTAGCAGACTGCTTTAAAGCTCTATGTAATTAACTGGGAGCTGAAACTATCTTGCTTACTAGCAGGTATTTAACATGGAAACTTCTTAGGAAGAGAGGAGTGGTTTAAGAGGTCAGGAGATAGTTGTAGATTTAAACAAAGGAGTTATAGAAAGGGAGCCTACTAATTTCAAGCTACCTGGCAAAGAGATGTTAGGCTAGTCTACGTTTCATCCTGCCGGTCTTTAAACACTGGGATTGTTCAGAAATCATCATCAAGTTTCTCCTACAATTATATAGCAAGTGGCTCCAGTTTTTCTTTCTACTCCTAACTCTTCTTGAACCACTTCCAGACCAGGGTTAAAAAGTGACATGCCCCTTTCTTGTGCACCTCACTGAAGGTCATCCAGGCAAATTCTAAATCAGGTTTGCTCTTGGTAAGAGGAAGATCCATGAACCCAGATACATGTTTCCAAAGCAGACATAATCCTGCACTTAATTGCAAGAAGCCAAACTCATCACTTAATATGGAGAAAGGCCAATATACAGAGCTTCTCCTTTCCGGGGCCAGAGCAATGCTCGGCGCCAGGAAATGTAACGGTTATGGATCAAATGCAAGCCTTTGAAAGAAAATGCCTATGGAGCAATATCTGTGCCAATTTTGAGGGGGAGGATTTATTTTGCCATCTTAGCATCTGTCTTGTCATAAATGTCAAATGTAATAGGGTTGAATGGAGTACTTTCTTCTCTAAAAATAAAGGGGCCATAGAGGTGGGGTGCAGACTGACAAGCCTCAGAGGAGGGGAGTTTGGTGGGGGAGAGAGAAACCACAGAATTTACATGCATGATGCAATGACCAATGAACACAGACAACAAAGCTGGGGATGGGGCGAGGGGGAAGAGGAGGAGGGTGTCAATGGGGGAAAAATGAGAAACATCTGTAACAAAAACAAATTAATAAATAAAAAATAAATAAATAAATAAATAAATATAAAGGGGCCGTAGAGTTATGAGGATTAAGTGAGCAAGAGATAGAGAAAAAAAACATGTTGGATCATAGCAGGTTTTGATAAATGCCTGTTCCTTCTTTCTACCCTTCTCCCTTTGTCTTTTTTCTTGTTTCTTTCCCTTCATTTATTTTTCTTTCTGTTTCTTTCTAAAATTAAATAGAAAATTTTTATCTTTATTTAATTAGAAAGTTGTAGAAGTGAGTCTAATGTCTGAGCTCTCATATTTTCAACAATTTTCCTTGGCACTCAGTGGTTTCCAAATATTTCAAAGATTCATGGAAAGTTAGATATTTAGGGAAAAAAATTATTAGTAAATATTTAAACAAATCTTATATAAAGCTGCTTTTGTTATACTTCTTAAATATATATACATACATTATATACCTATATATCTATATCTATACAGATATTTTAACACAAGTAATAAGGCAACTTTGTAGGGACATAATGTTCTGTAATGAAAAGCTCTGGGTTAAAGTGGTTCACCAGATTCAAAATCTCAATTTCATTGTTGTACTGAGGCAAACATAAATGTTCTCTTTGTTCCTACTTATCACTCTTTTTCACCCACTGATATTGGCATCTATGTGGGAGAGAAGAAAGGATTCCTGCTATGTGCACCCCTCCCCATGTCTCTCTGACTCTCTATTTTTTCCAGAATTTTTTTTGGAATAAAAATGGATGAGGGCAAATGGAACAGGGCAGAGTGAGCTGACTACTCGGTCACGCACCGGCTCTCCCCCAGTAACCCCAAGATAGCATCATGTAATCCATTGAGCTGCCGCCTCCCCAAGCCTGGCAGCTGGATTGGGAGTGCCCGTGGGCTGCATAATTACGGTGATAGGAAGAAAACAGAACTCTTAACCCTCTGGCACTACTCACAAGCACAATTTAAGAGCAACACAGGAATCTCTTAATAAATCATTTTCAGTTCCCAAATTAGCCTCAACTGGTCATGGTAACACTTCCTTGCTGAAGGGTGCTCCATTCGTACTACTCCTGGTCATGTCCATCCCCCCTCCCTCAGTGAAAACTGGACTTTAGTCAAACAAATGAAACAGTGTTCACTCCATTGCTCCTTCTCTCTCCTGAGATTTTTGTTCAGAGTATTCGTTTCTCACTGTCCGATTTCCTTTTTGAAACATATGACTTTTCATATAGTTGAGAATTTTTCATTTGTAGGAGGTTACATATTCCAATAGGAATGCCAAACACAGTAGGTACTGTCAATCTGACAATTTCTGGAAGAATCATTTGCCCTGGAGGTGCTTTGCTTCCTCTTAACTTTGAGGGATTAGACATTTCCATGTCAAACCCACCAGAGTAATGCATTTGCCTCAAAGATGTTCTAGCCTTTTCTCCAGGATATTATAAATCACTCGAATAATTCCAACTAATTAACAGACCTATTTCTCCCCTATTGTCCATGGGCAAATGCATCTTTCCAAACACAACCGTGATCTGATTTTGTTACAGGGCAAAAGGGAATACTTTTCATTGCTGTTTTTTGCTATTTCAACACGTTCCTTTTGTTCCAACAAGGTCAGAGATACTACCACATGCAATTCTGAAGACATCAACTTTGCCTTCTCATTTTATCATCTCTTCTCCTTCCTTGTTTCCTCTCCAGTTATGTACTCAAACTACAAAACATCCAAGATATAGGTGTACTGATTTTACATCTCATAAAGTAAAGCTCTGAAAGAAACTTTTTCTTGCGTAAACAAACATCTAAAGTTAACCAGCTTGAACAGAAGATGAGGTGGCAAGGTTCCTAACTAACTGCAATGAGCCCATTATGAACGGCGTACTCTTCAACTCAAGCAGCAGAGGCACTTATGCAGCACGCAGACCATCCTCTTGGCTGAAACTCCATTTATTTATCATTTTTCATTGCAATGTTCAAATACCAGAACCTCAAAGGTTGTGAGCTTTACTCTGCAAATGTTAAAAAGTCTTCATCCTAATGGAAACAGCATTCTCATAAATAAATTTAGTGAAATCCACAGTAGGCAGAGTGCTGTACAAAGTACTGAGAGGGAGTTTTGAAAAACAGTGTCAGAGAGCGGATGG